TGGCATCATTTAGTCCTGCGGCGGTCCTTTCGATCGAGACGTGGCGTAAGCCATGTGGCCGACGCAGTACGCACCATGAGGCCTACACGCCTACCCGACCATTCCGATGCTCTGGACCGCCTTCAACAGCATCAAAAACCAGCCACAGCTATGCCTACATGGCTAGCTACCCACGAGTACTGGTCAAGAGTGTGGATTGTACAGGAAATCGCGCTCTCGCGAATGGATCCAATATGTCTCTTGGGCCGCCACCAAATTCCTCTGCTCTCGCTGGACAGCGTCCTTGCGGACTGCACGGCGCCAGACCCAGAGGCGATACCTTGTCCGGCTGTAATTAAGGATGCATCATATCGCGCCCAGGAGATATGCATGCTGAGAGATGAGTTTCTCAAGACGCGCATAGTGCGTGTAGCAGGCAGTATGGAACTTTTACGCGCGTTGCAGTTCGCCAGTTACAGGAACGCCAGCGATGCGCGCGATCACATCTATGGGCTTCGCAGTCTAATTCCTTCAGGCGACCAGGAACAGATGAAACCAGACTACACTTTGTCCGTAAGGGAACTCTACGCGGATGTCACTAGATTACTACTAGAAAGGAAGTGGTCCATCAGCCTTCTCTGTTGTGCAGTAGGAACAGGCCATCAGCCAAACGAACACAACCTACCTTCCTGGAGTCTCGATTTTCGCAAGCCGATGCCATGGCTACCGTTTTCGAGCGACATCCTCGGTGTGCAAGAACATGAAAACATGGACAATAAGGGTTCGGACAGATTCCACATTCTCGGTCTCTGGGGTGAAAGCCATGAAGAAACCATCACTGGATTCAACTCCCCGAAAGGCTATAATATGCTTGAACACATATCCGACCCAGAGACGTCGCGCCATTTTTCCGAATTCTTGCAAAGCAACATCTTTGGACCGGACAAAAGATGGAGACGTTATACAGATGTCCATACGGAAACCCAAGAGCAATACGCGGTCTTCAGCACGGATCGAGGAAGATATGGGAAATGCCCTAGTGATGTGAAGCAAGGTGACGAGATATGGAGTTTCGAGGGATCAGTAATCGCGTTTGTACTTAGACCTTCGGCGGGGTCTGGAGTCCAGGAGGATGCTGTGAGGAATAGGTATAGATTGGTTGGTGCATGTAAGTTTTTGAGTGAAGTCGAGAATACTTGGGGTCTACCGGAGCGGGCGAAGAGGATGATTGAGATTGTTTAAGAGATGGTATCGTTCGCACAGCACACAACCGAAGCTACGTGCGAAGAGACTCATCAGGCTCGAGCTTAAGAGATGGAAGGGCGGACGACTCGTGGCGCTTTCGCCGATCACTGAAGACACGCGCACATGTCGCGTGGGGTGCGCATGCACAGTCGAGGCAGACAGCGTCGATAGATTCCTGAGATAAGGATGGCGCAACTCGCTGAACGACACATCTCGCGCAGAAGTAGGGCCTCTCTTGAGTTTCTCCTCATTCGTCGCAGTTGAGATATTGAATCGTGGGAGAGTCAGTCTTATCGTGGAGATAAGGGGCCCTACACTAAAATAGCTCCCTTGGCATGCTTCATCTCGTGCTTACTTCCTCCAACCACAACTCCTCAGCTGCATTTCGCCATCTCGAGAAGGCTCCCGCAATTCCCTGCGTCTCTGTCGCAGCCACATGCGCCGTTATGTTGCACGCTCGATCGCCTCTGGGCAGCGATCGTAATTCCACGGAGCGGGCCTCGAAAGCCACAACACGGACCCGCTACAGCGAAAGAGGCAGGCGACCAATGCGCCCAGCCTGACTATCTTTTCCACTACAGCTGCGGCTACACCGAAGTGTCTAGTTAGTCCTTTCGTCATGCGCCTATCCGGAGTCAGAGGACCTCTCTGCGAGACAAGTCTGCTGCCGGCACATTCTCGTGTTCGTTGGCAGTCTGTAATAGCCGCTTCCTACGGGTTCCTGCAGGCAAAACAAAAGTAGCGACGCGTATTCCCTTCTTCCTCACGGGCAAGGCGACGGCACGCTACTTCAGGGGCTCCGCCGCCGTTGTCGTCCGATACCGCAAGAGTACTTTTGCCTTCTCCATGTGAACGCATGAAACATTCGTGATCTCCCGGCCCATGGCTCTATCCGGAAGGTCAGGATCGTCGGCTCGGGCACACAATGCACGATATAATGCCCAGACCAATATAACAGGGCCTCCGAAGCTTGCCTGCCTATTTCACAGTGTCGCCAAGCCTCCGCTCTGCTGTCTCCTACCATCGCGCCGGTCGACTACGCGTGCAGCCAGTCCGAGAAAGGCAGCCGGTGATCGTTCCCTTGTCGCGTGGACGGCCTACTAATCGTACGCGCCTGGTGTTGCATCAACCATTCGCTCCGTGTTCTCGAAAGGGTCAAGACCGAGTGTGGAGAGTCGTTCGGGGGGTAAATGTGGCGAGGCAGCTGTTCATGTATAAGAGGAGTGGTATACTGTTTCAAAGCATTACTTTTGAGCACATCACCTGTCCCTAGTCTCTCATTTCTACTTCACTCGTTCCCACGATGCGTTCTGTACTTCTCGCGTCGCTGGCATCGCTGTCTGCCATCAGCGTCTATGGCCACCCCCACGCTTCATGGCAAGGACGCAGCACACTTACTCGCCGCGCTGTCGACTTGGACTCGTACCGCATGAAGCATGCCGCTGCCTACAAGAACGTGGCCGAAGTTGTGGCTGATCCCAACATCAACACACTTGCGAAGCGTGCTAGTGCGGAGGATGTTGCTACCGACTTGGTCAAGGCTACGATCCCGGATGCTACCTTCCGTCTTGTCAAGGACTCATATGTTGGCGACAATGGAGTAGCTCACTTCTACTTCAAGCAAACCGCCAACGGTCTTGACATCGATACCGCGGACTTCAATGTCAACGTAAGTCAACAACCTCTAAAAACTGTATACTCTCTATGTTGGCAATCGTGCTAATACCCCACAGGTCGGTCGTGATGGCAATGTTTTCTCTTTCGGAAACTCATTCTACAAGGGTGCTATCCCAGCGCCGCCAAGTCTGAGCAAACGTGACAGCGCGGCACCCGCCAATGCGCTCAAGTCCGCTATCAACGTTCTTGGACTCCCAGTTTCCGCTGAGGAGGCTATCGCTGAGGCAAAGGAAGCTACTGAGACCTATGCTATCAAGAAGACTACCGGATGTGTCAGTGAGCCTGAAGCACGCCTTGTCTACCTCGTAGATGAGGAGGGCAAGCTCGCTCTTACCTGGAGAATTGAGACTGATGTCATGAGCAACTGGCTGCTTTCTTACGTCGATGCGGAAGATGGCGAGAAGGTGCACGCCGTTGTTGACTACTCTGCCGATGCTGAGTACAAGGTTTAGTAAGTAGCCACGACTACTATATATGATCATAACTAATAACATCTAGCCCCTGGGGTATCAACGATCCATTTGAGGGTGACCGCAAGCTTGTCGAGGATGACTTCTCTCCCGCTGCTAGTGAATTTGGTTACCACAACGATGGCAAGCAGACTTTCAAGACGACCCGTGGAAACAACGGTATTGCCCACACCAACTGGGAGAACGTCAACAGCGGATTCCTCAACCTTCCCCGTCCCCAGAGCGAGGACCTGGTCTTCGACTACCCGTTCTCTCTCAACGACACCGACTGGATGGGATATGCCAACGCCTCCATTACTCAGCTCTTCTACACCGCCAACAAGTACCACGATGTTCTGCACACGCTAGGTTTCAACGAAAAGGCCGGAAACTTCGAGATCAACAACAACGGCGCTGGTGGTGCCGGTCAAGATTTCGTCTACCTGAACGCTCAAGATGGCTCCGGCAAGAACAACGCCAACTTCGCCACACCTCCCGATGGTCAACCAGCACGCATGCGCATGTACATCTGGAACACAACAACCCCTTACCGCGACAGCAGCTTCGACGCCGGAGTCGTCATCCACGAATACACCCACGGTCTCTCCAACCGTCTCACCGGTGGTCCCCTGAACGCCGGTTGCCTTTCTCTGCTCGAATCCGGCGGCATGGGCGAAGGCTGGAGCGACTTCTACGCGACCGCTATCCGCCTCAAGGCCGGCGACACCCGCAAGACCGAGTACCCCATGGGCGACTGGATCAGCGGACGTCCTCTCGGAATCAGGAACTACCTCTACTCGACCGACCTCAACAAGAACCCACAGGTCTACTCCGACGCCGATCTCTACGAGAAAGTCCACCCCATCGGCAACATCTGGGCATCCATGCTCTACGAAGTCCTCTGGAACCTCATCGACAAGTATGGCAAGAATGATGACTGGCTACCTAAGCTGGACAGCAAGGGTATCCCGAGTGATGGCAAGTACCTCGCTATGAAGATCGTCATGGACGGTATGGCCCTGCAGCCCTGCAACCCCACTTTCGTCTCTGCCCGCGACGCGATCGTCGACGCCGACAAGGCGCTCACAGGCGGTGAGAACGTGTGCGAGATCTGGAGCGGATTCGCGAAGCGTGGTCTTGGTGAGGGTGCGGTTTACGCTCCTACCGGCCGCACGAACAGTTTCGATATCCCCGAGGGAGTCTGCGGTGGCGGTAACTCGACCATGGCAACGAAGATGAAGATGCATAAGAGGAGGGTTCAGCCTGTTGAGCTGAAGTACTAGACGCATGGGATTTGTAGCATGGAGAGGAGCTTTGCATGGGGCGATTGTTGCTGTTGTTGATGAGTGTATGATGATACCTGCATTGGGTGGCGTTTTAGAGAGGCATATACTGCTTCCTGTTTCTTTAATGAATAATTATTGTTCCATCAAACCTCCCTTCCTTTTGAATCGATCGTTTGATACTATGCCGCTCTTAACACAATAACATGTAGTTAAGCCCACGCCTCGCAACACACGCTCTCTCATTTGTCCAAGAGCATATGGACAAGGGGTCTTAGCCGTCACCAGAAACGTATATACACCCTATCACGCGTGAACCGTAACAAGAACGTCAGTCACAAGAAGCATTCCTAAAAACAAACATGCCTCACTCCTCACTCGTACTACTCCCATCATCCGCAACCATACTCTCCGCCTCCTCCCTACTCTTATAGTCGCCAAATATGAGATAAACTCCCGGTACCCCATACCCCTGCAGCTCCTTCCTAACCCCCTCCCTCGCAGCACTCTTAACATACCGCCTCGCCTCCTGCCACAACCGCTCACTTCCCGCCAACGGCTCCTCCGCATACCCAATCCACTCGCCCATCCAAGCCTCCCTATCCCTCTCCATCTGCCAAAACGCCAACCCAGCTCTCACGTAAATCCAACCTACATCACTTCCCTCGAGAAACTCCGTCAAGAAGTGTTCGAAATCAGGGTTCAGACTCTCCTGCAAGATTTTTATGCTGCGGAAACCCCAGAAGGCGGCTTCGGCGTATTGGCCGAGAGCGTTGTAGGCGGCGATGGTGCGCGAGACGAGTTTGAGGCGCAGGACTACGCGGATGGTTATGCCGGTTTGGCCGGCGTAACGGCCCGTGGTTATGGCTTCGTGGAAGAAGTCATCGGCGAGGACGCGGCGGGTGCGGCCGGAGATGAGGATGTGGATGGAGTGGAAGGCTTTGTTGTAGAGATCGAGGGCTTGTTGGGCGGCGATGTGCTTTTCGTCGGTGGTGAGGGTGTTGTCTGGAGAGGGTGTGGCGGAGGCGAGGAGGACGTCGCCGGCTAGCATGTGGTCTGTAGCGTTTTCGACGGATTCGCGGAGTGTGGGTATTGGGATGGCTTGGAGCTTGGCAAGTTCTTCGCGGACAACAGGGGAGTAACCATGGATGTGAGTGCTGTTGAGGCCCTTGACATGTTCGAATGGGAGGAGGAGCTTGCGTTGGAGAGGGAGGGGGATGTTGTAGTCTTGCTGTTCTTCCCCTATGACTGCCTCGCCATTCTCGCCATACGGATCCCGCAGAACGAACGTAGTAGATAGGCGCTCGTTAAGCATAGGATAAGACAACGCACTGTAGTACCAAGTCTTCGTGAAGAGGGGTAGATCGTCCACCAGCATAACAACCATATGCTCAGGTACCTCGCCATGAAACGGCGCGGTAATCTGCACAACAGCGTGGAAATCGTTAAACGCATCGGCGCGCGCATCCGTACAAACAATCGGCACAAGACCCTCGGAGGAAATGTGGTTAACTAGAACTAAGACGTTAATATATCAGCCATGCACTCCACAGGAACTCAGAAAAGACAAGGGAAAAGCTCACGGCGTCCTCGGCGACCGGTAAGTTCCAATTGCTCTGGTACACCATCCGTAGCCATTAGATAAACGCGATACATACCCGCGCTCGGCCAAGGAGTAGCAATCTTGACGAAGACGTTTTCTCGTCTCCATACTGTCTTCGCTTCGGCGTAAATTTGTTTGTTTGCGAGCCAGAGGTTGAAGTCCCATTGGTAGACGCCGCCGTAGAAGCCTTTCGCTTCTAGCTCTTCGCTGCGGACGAGGTGGTCGGCGGGCGTGAAGTAGATGGAGTAGATTTGTTCGCGGAGCTCTAGGGGTAGGCGTAGGAAGGGGAATGGGGTTGGTGTGGCGTTGGTGGTAGTGTCTTCAGACATCGTGGGCGGTGAAGGGGGGGCTTGGGATGGTTTGGTTTTGGGTTTGGAGGCGAAGGGGTTGGTTACTAGAGAGGTGAACTGGAACATGGTAGCGAGGACACGCGGTCGCAGAGCTTAGGTAGCTCTAGAGAAGTGTGGTACGGGCGGCTGGAAGATGCATGACGGAGGAGGAATCTGCCCCACCTTTAGCTCCGGTGTTAACGCCGCGGGCCGAGGCATGGAAGAAAGATGAAGTTTATCGCTGTGCGTTTTTGCTTCCACTCCCAAATCTGATGCTCAAGCAATGTTAGTCATGCGCCCATGTTTCGCGTATACTTGTGGCGGTGGTTTACCAGGCCGATCTAAAGCATTCGTGTCCACGCTCAACGACGGTGGTTAAGGTGACTGCGAACATGAGTGTCTATATTCATGTCATTATTCCAACATATATAGTACATGTAACAGACATCCAGGACACCCATTCCCGGGCAAAATACTCCTGTCATATCCGCATCAGAGTGGAACAGTATCTTTTCGTGGTATCTTTCAAATCCTTAAACGTACAATCCGCAGCTCCTCTACCGTGTCTGGGTAGGTGGTACTCCCCCTTGGTGGCTAGCTGCTGCTTCTGGTGCACTCGCTGCTGAAGGCACTGTCGCGGTCTGAGGCGCCGAGTTACCTGCACCCAACCAACTGAATGCGCCTGCCTTCATATCGTTGAGCTGAGCTTCTTGCATCTTCTTCTCCTCCTCAGCCATCTCCTTGAGCCATTGCTCTCCGTTTTCGCGGATTTGCTTGTCCAGATGAACGTAGTTTTGCTTGTTGAAGTCGCGGTACATGTCGATCATCATCTTGCCCTCTGACATTCCCTGGCTGATGTTCTGGTCACCGAGAACCATGCCTTGTTTCGGTCCGTCGAGACCCAGACTCTTCATGAACATGCCACCCGCACTTCCCTTGGTCTTCTTCTGTTGCTGCTCGAGGTCGCGCTTGAATTGTTCGCGGAGTTTGGCCTCGCGGCGGGCGTACTCAACCGGGATGTCTTTGCCTTCCATCGACTTGAGAACGGTGCGGACGTCGATTGGTGTACCGGTTTGAGACATCATGGCAAGGTATTCGAGGAAGGGGATCAGGGCTACGAGGCCCTTGTCGCCTGGCTCGCCCTTCCACTTGGGCAGGATGATGGCGTTTTCGGGTTGGAGCTTGACGTGCGAGGGGTCGGTGTCGATCATGATGACTTTGGAGAGGTCGCGGTTGAGGTAGGAGAGGTCCTAGAGATGGTTAGCAAAAGTCTCATACAGTGCATAATCAACATACCTTGATGTACTCGCCCTTCTCGAAGCGGGTAGCCTCGCGGAACAGCGGCCACATGACGAGACGGAAGGGGTCGAGCTTGCGGATGATGGGGTCGGCGTCCATGGACTTGACGGAAGTGAAGATGACAAGTTCGTATTGCGAGCTGAGGTATCGGAGGAAGTAGTCAAGACCAGGTCGTTTTGCTAGTCGGTAGCCGTGCTTAGTGGTCCATTCCGAGTGCAACAGGAGATCCTCCAAACTGAGTACCAGAGTAAGTTCTGGAGCGCCTCCGGGGATCTTGTCCTTGTCTGGCAGCAATTTCTGGAAGGTAGGCTCAGTGTAGTATGCTTTCTGGCCGTTGATGCGGGCAGCCGCACGGGCGTACATGCCGCCCAACGTCCAGCCATTCGGAGCGTCGATGTGTGCGGCTTCCTCTTCTTCATCCTCCCAGTTTCGGCCCATGAAGAGCGCGCCCGTTGTGCCGAAAAGTAGCATACCGAGGTAGGACCAATTGGCGACACGATTCCGCCGCCTATCGGTGCTCGTCTCATATGCGGACTTGGGCAGTTCGCCGCCACTACCGCCCTCTCGGCCTCCAGCAGCGCCTGGTGTCGGGTCTTCGTAGAGCTCGTTGGGGTCGTTGGGGTCCCGCTTCGCCTTTCCATCGGCTTCAGCATGCTCCTCCGCAAACGTCGAGGGGATTCCGTAACGCAGGTCCGGTAGTGGCTTTTGTGGTTGTTGCGACTCTGGGCTCTCGGTGGTTGGGTCGGTGTTCTCACTGGGCGACTTGGGCCCCGACATCTCCTCCTGCTCCGACATCTTAAAGTCCTTTCCGGCATCTTTCGAGGCTTGTGTTGCGCTCTCCACTGGTCTTGAGGGCTGTGTCGGTGTTGTGTTTTTCTCAGGCGCTGATTCTGTGTCGAACTCAGGCTGCTCTGAAGGGTTTACCGGGTTGGGCCGCGCCTTGTTGGTCTCGTCGAACTTGATGGGATCTGAGGGTTTCCAGGTGTTATCTTTTGGCTTGCCGACCTTGGCATATGTGCGCGTCCATTGCGAGGTGGAAGCTATGGGTGTGATGCGCGGCGCTGCCAGTGCAGACCGCATGCGCAGGGCGCGGAAGGCGGTTCTGGGGAGCATGGCGATAGAAGGGGGGATAAAATACAAATTAAGAAGAAAAGGCGCCTCTAGGAAACATGGGTCGGGCACATGGGGGTCGTGGTGTCGACGGTCCTGCGATGAAATAATTGATGGAACAAGGCTTGGCGCAATGACGCTGCTCCCTCGCCAGAAATTCGCCCGTGTCATACGGCAATCGTGGCTTCACCAGTCAAGCAGGAACGCCGAACATGTGGCCCCGCTTAAACACCAACGCCCTCGTCGCCTCCCGCTGCTGACAGACTCGAGTCACATGTCGCCTCACAGGGACTTCTTTGCCCATGCGACTGACTGGAAGGCCTCTGCGGCGACATGCGCCAATGCCCGGAGGAGCACCCTTTCAGCTACTATGCATCCTCCTGCTGTGTATAGGTTGCTGGACGACGCCCGCTCATGGCATGACCGATGAAGCAATAGCAGAACTGAGGTAATTTTATTGAATCATCAATATCAGATGTGTACTAATTGCGCAGACAAGAGACACGCGACATCTTCTACCATGGTTTCGACAACTACATGGAACATGCCTTCCCAGAAGACGAGCTACGACCACTCACTTGCGCACCCCTCACTCGCGATCGCCATAATCCTGCCCATATCGAAGTCAACGACGTGCTCGGAAACTACTCTTTGACACTGATAGACAGCTTGTCGACGCTCGCTATCCTCGCTTCCACGCCCGAAAACGATGCCGCCGGATCCAATAGACCGTTGGAGGACTTCCAAGAGGGTGTTAAGCTATTGGTAGAGAACTATGGAGATGGCTCGTCAGGACCCCGTGGCCGTGGGGCAAGAGCGAGAGGCTTCGATTTGGACAGTAAGGTGCAGGTCTTTGAGACGGTCATCCGCGGCGTTGGCGGGCTGCTCAGCGCACACCAATTTGCAGTCGGGGATCTGCCCATCCGAGGTTACGATGCAAGGACAGAGAGAACGGGAGGCCGTGAAGGGATATTTTGGCCCAATGGGTTCGTCTACGATGGACAACTTCTACGGCTTGCTGTAGACCTCACGGATCGACTACTGCCAGCCTTCAACACGCCAACTGGCCTGCCGTACCCTCGAGTCAACCTCCGATACGGAGTACCCTTCTACGCGAAATCCCCAAACAACATGGATGCTGAGAATGGCCAATGTGGCAGAGACCCAAGTGATAAGGGGACCGAAGTCACTGAGACGTGCAGCGCTGGCGCCGGGAGTCTGGTCCTGGAGTTCTCTGTTCTCAGTCGACTAACTGGTGATCCGAAGTACGAAAGATTGGCCAAAGACGCCTTCTGGGCCGTGTGGCACCGCAGAAGCAGCATCGGGCTTATTGGCGCCGGCATCGACGCTGAGACAGGGCAGTGGGTAAATTCTTACACGGGCATTGGAGCAGGTATTGACAGCTTCTTTGAGTATGCCCTTAAGTCGCATATTCTTCTTTCCGGACTACCTTTCGACAAAGCACGCGAAACCACTGATTCTCCGGAAGCCTTCCTTGCGACTTGGCTCGACGCTCACGATGGCATTCGGAGACAAATTTATCGCGGAGCACAACACCAGCATCCTCACTACGCCCAAGTCGATCTATACACTGGTGCTATCAGGGCATTTTGGGTCGATAGTCTGAGCGCATTCTATCAAGGGCTCTTGACTATGGCCGGCAAACTCGATGAGGCTATCGAGACGCATTTACTCTACACGGCTCTTTGGACTCGCTATTCCGCAATGCCTGAGAGATGGTCAACTGCGACTGGCAGCATCGAGCATGGCCTTCGTTGGTGGGGCGGTCGACCAGAGTGGATTGAATCGACCTGGTACCTCTATCAGGCTACGAAAGACCCTTGGTATCTCCATGTAGGAGAAATGGCGTTGCGTGACATCAAAAGACGCTGCTGGACTAAGTGCGGGTGGGCCGGTCTGCAGGATGTACGTACTGGAGAACTGAACGATCGCATGGAGAGCTTCTTCCTTGGTGAAACTGCGAAATACCTTTTTCTGCTTTTCGACCCGTCGCATCCGCTCAATACCTGGGACGCGCCGTTTGTGTTCACGACCGAAGGGCACCCGTTGATCATTTCGAAGAGACTCCGTCCCACTCAGAAGACGCGGCCAGATCCTGATCCAATCCTAGAGGTACCTCAGACATGCCCTCTTCCACCAGCTCTCTTGCCTTTCAGTATCTCTCCGACAGCCGCTCGGACCGACATTTGGCATGCTGCAAGCCTTGCCAGACTACATCTTATGCCAACCATCGAGACGCTTGAGTCACCACTCGTCGAGTTCAGTGCCGACCATCCCAGCATTTCTTTATCAGACACACGTTCGCCTTCCAACTACACTTACTATCCATGGACTTTGCCACCCGAGCTCATCCCCCACAACGCTACAAGTTCAGTGCTGGCTGTCAGGACTACCTTTGACCTTTCGTTCCCCAACATGCCAAGCACATCGCTGACAGGTGCGCTCCAAAGAGTGCAGGAAGGCATCTTGGTCAACTCTATGAGTGGGCTGAGACTTGGCATGGTTCGTGAGCAAGACAAGCCACGTACGATACGACAGCAGCTGGATCTGGATGAGCAATTCCGCATCTATGCGATCTCCAACATAGCTCTGGGCCGTGATGAGAAGGTTTTCATGTCTCGTTCGACCATCGACAACTTCAACCCACTCGACCCGTTCTTCACAAGAACGCGAGATGCGCATGCGTTGGACCTGGTCATCGACGTACCGCCGCAGCTTGCACCTGCATCCTCCAAAACGCTGGCAGATCTCCTCAGCGATGCGCTCGGTGAGACGAGCAACCTATCCGACATGGATATCGCCGACGTGATTGATCTAGAAGTGGACCCCGAAGCACTCGATAGCCAGCCGTCATACCTAGCCACCTTCCTCTCATCGCTTCAAGCCCTCCTCTCCGCCCCACTACCCACATCCACATCCGCAGCATCTCAATCCCAAGATCACTCTGAGCAAACCTTGAAACGCCACTTTTTTCCCGCCGCGCTTCCCACCGGTCCCGGCGCAGCACCCATGCCAGACACCCAAGACCCAGAAATGACATACAGCCCAGACAACCCACTCACCTGGTCAAATATCTACGTCCACTCCACAACTCTCTGCACAGACCGTCTTCCGCTGGAGGTCGCAAAGAATCATCAAATCATCGCAATCCCTAGAGGCGATTGCTCCTTTTCGACTAAGCTGCACAACATCCCCGCTTACCCACCAGATGCTACCTCCCTTCAACTCGTCATCATTGTCAGTTTTCCTGAGCACGAACCCAATGAGAATCAATACACCGACTCTGATTCAGCGACGCAACAACCCCCTGTGCAGCCGCTGTTAGATGATGTACAGTATACCCCAACCGGCATGCTACGACCCAATCCCATTCCCATGATTATGGTTGGTGGAGGGGAGGAGACAATGACGTTATTGAGGAGAGCAACGGGAGTAGGTGTGAGACGGAGGTATTACTTTAGGAGTCAGGGGGTCAAGATTGGGAATTTGATCGTGCTTTAGCGAGTGTAGAGTATGACTTCAGATAGGCGTGGAGGAATTCTCCGTTTTTGTGTAAATAGGAACAAGTAGAGGACACTGCAATTGCGACCAGGATCAAGATTCGCACTCTGGCACATTTGAGAAGTGTAGTCTAAACTGTTTCTATGGGCTAGAGCATAACAGGTTTCTTGGAAATCAGATGAGGTTCATCTCCTTTGATCCGCAATCGAGCAGTATTTTCTTCACTATCTTTCCCACAAAAGCCACAACGTCAAAGCCCATACAAAAACGTCATCTTCGCATCCGCATACCTCGTCGCATCCAACCTCTCCGCCTCAACAGCCTGAACCGTCTTCCCCCTCCTCCACGCCACTTTCGTCCTATTCACTTTCACCAGAATAAACCTATACGCCGTATACCCCACCAGCGCCGCAACCACAAACCCCAACGTACCATAAAACGGCACCAGATACCCCGGCGCATACTTCTTCTTATACAACTGCGCGCCCACCACACCAGCGAGATTGCCGAAGCCGTTGACGCCCAGGACGAGTGAACGTTTCCCGGGCTCGGGGTTGTTGCCGCTGAGCCAGGCGACGGTTAGGGGCGCGGAGATGTAGGAGCCTGAGAGGAGGATGCAGAGGCCTGCGTATTGGGCGGAGTGCGTGGGGGCGGTTACGGTGATTATCAGGCCGATGAGCGAGATGAAGATGCCGGTTATGATGTGGTAGCCGCGTTCTTTGCGGTGGTCGGATGATAGGGCGAAGAGGTAGAGACCGATTGCGCCGCAGACGAAGGGGGGGACGGACATCTAAGCGTTGTTTGGGTTAGCTTGTCATCCCAAAATTTGAGCATATGTGTTATGGGTTTGAGCTTCAGTGTGTGAACATACCAAATTCGCATCCAAACTCGAATACCCCAACCCTTGCACGACCATGGGCATGAAGACCGAAAAAGCCTGACTAGGCACACTAGCACAGATATTAAAAAACAGCAAGAACCACAACTTCCAGTCCCGTGCCGTCTCTCTCGCATCTCTCTTTGTCAACCTCTCCCTCTCCACGCCATCCCTTCCAAAATCATGCGAAGTCCACGCAGAATTATCCTTGATGATGCGTTGAACGGCAAAGACCTTCTCTTCGTGGCTGAGAAACCATGCGGTACCTGGTCCGGCTGGTAACCAGAACCACGCGAGTATGGCGATGAGGATGGTCAGACTGCCTTCGATGATGAAGAGGTACTGCCAGTTATGCAGACGTGTGTTGTTGAGGTGGAAGATACCGAATGCTTGGTTCATATTAGCATACACGACATACAATACGGGATTACTGAACAAAGGTAAGGTGACATACCAATAGACCCCGAAAACGCGCCGGCAATAGCGTATTGGCCGTAGAAAAGGCCAATCCTGACGGCCATGTCGTAGCGCCCGTAGAAGGTGGAGAGGTACGCGATGGCTGTAGGGTAAAAGCCTGCTTCGAAGGCTCCGATCATGAGGCGGA